CAAGACATTTCATTCACTCATTTTGTCCGTGTTTTGAGGCGAGGCCCTAGGAGCACGGACAGCGCCCCAGCAATTGCTTGCCACATCGTAGAATTGCATCAAAACACAGCGCAAGTGAGATGACAATCGTCTAGCCGTTCCTTTATTACGAAGTAAGATGATCTCGAGAGTCTAGAACTTGCGCTATTATTGTTTTATCAAAATCTCCTGCTTTGTTTTCTCGAAGTCTATTCAGTCTATTCACTCAAATATTCTAAAACAGAGAAGGTTGAGAACTTGAAATTGAAAGAACTCGTCAACTTCTTGATTCAACCTTTTTATTTTATCAAAAATATTTTCTTCAAATAATATGCTACACCTACTAAATAAACTGTAATCCATAGCCGCTTTAGTTTGTAGATTTATAATTCCTGCTGTGTTTTATGATGGCTAGACCAATGTTTGGTTGAAGACCCTTTTACTTTACTATGTAAGAACAGTTTTTCAGCAGTTGATTTTGCTTTAATTTTATTGTTGTTATGACACCATCTTTTCTGATTTAATCTCATTTCAAGCTTCCACGATCGAGATGCCTTTTTTTATTAAGCAGTTTGAGACACAAGATTGCATCGATACCTTTCGCCATTGCTATTGAGCGTCATCAAATCATCTCGTTCTTTGTCCCAACGGATCTTACTGAGTTTGCAGAATTTGAATTTAGCTTCACGCAGACAAGAACAAAGATTGCACGATCATGATTTTCAAGAACGTTTCGGAAAGTTCTTCGAGCGTGCGAACAGGTGAAGCTCATGATTCCAACAAAAATTTCGATTTCTTTGTTTGAAAGCTGGTAATCTACAACACTGAATTTATTTTAACCGCTCAAAATGAAGAAGAAGTTGCTTGTAAATATCGTTCAAGCTCGAAATTTTCGCGACCATTTTTCGCGAAGGCACTATTTTCACCCTGCTCCTGATGGCAAATGATTTCCAAATTATAATTTATCCAGACTTGTATCTCGGAACTTTGTGCATGTCGACTGCATGCTTGGAGACGCAAAGTACCGATTACTCATCAAAACCGCACAATTTGCTTTTTTAAGCCACGGCTATCCTTCAATCTTCGTTATGCTCAGCCGTGTAACGTTCGCATCTCAATTAGTGCAAGCTTATGAGGGTGATACTGCAGCCGTCGCGGACTGGCAACTGCTGTTCAAAGACCTCCATCCTTCATCGTTCTCACTTAATCTATCACTAAATGAATGGTCAATGATCCGCAGCCGTGTCTGTCTCACAAAGTTTTCATGAGATTGGGACTCTGCAGTTTCTAAGCATTTAATTCTGTTTACCAAAATTCTTGCCGAACCCTAAACAGTTCAAACTCCTACTGTTCCATCCCTGCCTAGAACTGGTTTGCCGCCGTTTTCCTCTCATCTGTGGTAACGGGAGAGCAGATTCTATGATCTTAATCTGGATAAATCTTAGCAGTTGGATCATTCATGAACTAAATAGATATCAGAAAGAGTAAGACAAAGCAAGGCTACAATACAATGAGATTTTCTTTTTGACGCTTTCATCATTTTCTACCATGCACTTCTACGAAATATTATTGTTCGTACTACCGATTGCCGCTTCTTGAATTTTGCTTTCTTCGCTGGAATAATTTCAGCTATAGTGGTTTTTTTCGTCCATGTGATTGGCAACTTTGATTTCATTTTGAAATACTAGGCTGTTGCATAAGTTCTGTCCGATTTTTTTGCCTCATGTTTGAAGCAGCTGTTCTAAGAGAATTTCATCTCTAATTCGATACGGTTGGTATCATTGAAAAGTGCTTTCCTTGCGCTTTCTAAAGCATACCAGAATTCAATAAAATTCTTAGTGTACGGAGATCACAGGCCTAAAATCTCTAAGTGGCCGAGGTACGTTCTATCCCCAGAAATATGTCCTTGCGAGGATATCTCCACAATGCGCCCTTCAAGTCAGGTTCTTTCATTGGCTTCGGAATAAGGGTATGGAATGCTAGTATATGCAGAAGTTCGGTCCCATGAAGAATACGTCTTGCTAGTGAAATTTATCCTCGAACATAAATCTTTGGTATAGATGTTTTACAAGCAATAACTTTCTGCGAATAGAAGTAATCGACAAGCTCAAAGTTGGAGGTGCTAGGGCAAAGCAAGAGCTAACAGGGCCCATCCACCAATTCCTTTTCGGCGCTCACGTCAGTTGTAAAACGTTCGTAGTTCATAAATAGGCATGCACACATGTGCTGAAGCGAGGTCAAAAAGTGGCTAATTTTTTGTTCGGTCAAAAAAATCTCTCGGCAGCGCAAACCCTATGGGCTCTTTCATGTTGCATAATAATCTACGAAAATTTCTCTATCCATCCATTATTAGAAAAGATGCCTATCAAATTTCATAAGGGAGCGTTACCATGTCAAAAAAGACAGATTCGAAGAAAAACGCTGCGAAGTTTTTGCATTCTTGGTTCTTCCTTAACAAAGATTTGCGCAGATCTCAACATGCATTTTTTAGCCAAGGGACTGCTCAACACATAGAAACTAAGACCTTGGAAAAAAGTTGACTCTGAAAAAAGTTATGACATTTTAAACTCAAAAATTCAAATCGGACAGAACTTATGCAACAGCCTAGTAATCACCATTCATAATACTCTCGCTCTCATTTCTTCGATTTATAAACATACGTGGAATGAAGGCTTAAATACGCTTGGAGCACTATTCGATATAACTTTTCTTCCACTTTCCAGTGGCTTCGTTCTTAAATTGACTTCTCTTTGCTCAGTCAAATAGTCGACATGGTTCCCGTCCTATCGTTTTTATCATGTCCAAGGCGTGGTTTTCGAAATCTTCATTCCATTTTTGGAGTAGAAAATAACGTATCGATGAAGTGAATTTTTGCAAGAAATATTTTTGGGTTCCTTCAACGGGCTGTTCATGCTTTCTATAGATATTACCAATTTTTCATCAAATTCCATATGCAGTCAATCCAAACCTCATAGAGACATGTGGTGAGACACTCAGGTATCATTTGAAGCAACCTTTTCTTTTTTCTCCCCTTGTTTCGCTTCCATTTGTGGGAACTCGAACCAAAATTGTTATGATTTCAATTCCACAACTGCACACAGATGCCGAATTCTATTTTAGCAAGTGGCTATATTCTTGAGAGTAATATATAATAATACCGTGTTTTGCAAGTTTTATTTGTGATTGACTCTTATTTGAGGAAAATTTTGATCTCTAGTTCGAGCATGTATCGTGCTATTTCGATGAAATGAAGTCTTTGAATCAAATACGTCTTATGGAGCCGGAAGGAAAAGCGCAAAGTTAGTTACAAAATGTTTACACTATCTATCTGTTTTTTCTTTTCCAAAAGCTTGGACTGAAGAGTTTGAAAATTAGCCAAAGTTGATTATGGTACCAGCTAGGTTTGGAATCTTGGCGGTAATTCAATATGAATACTATAACAATCAGTTTAAAAGCACTGCTACAAAGAGGAAAAGAAACTGCGTCGATTATCAACCATATGTATCTTCTTACGCCTCAAGTTTTATGATAGGTCGAACAAATCGCATGAAATTTCGCAACGACCTGGTACTTCTTCGGCAGTTGCTGAACATTTTCGGAGAAAATGTGTAAGTCTTATTATCCTCGCTCTGAATTCGTCGAAACCCTGGATCAAGCAGTGTTTTCTTAGGCTGAATGGTAGGCAAGGTAACAAATTGGAAAATCTAGAGGTTTTTTTTACTAGTCTTGTGAACTTTCAATCGCTTGTGTTGATCATGATTAACGTTGATCTACTAGCAATTATACGCCCATCAAAATCAAAATATTTCTGCCCTTGATATATTTTGATTTTGATGGGCGTGTAATTGCTAGTAGATTTCAAAATGTTTTTGCTGGTAAAGAAGTTGAGTATGTGGGCAGGGGTCGTTTACTTGAGAAGCTTGAGAGCAACGTAACGAATGCGCTCAAGTTCAAGACGATTATCGGGCAAGGGCCTTCTGAAAAAATTTGTCAAAGCTCTCCACTTGAATCTCTCTCCAATTCTATTTTGCCAACACTACATCTCATTTGAAACTTCTTCAATGATAAAAAACGAAAGTTGCTCCAAGCCCACTTTCTTCAAATTTACTCTACATTGCCACGATTCGCCTAATCAAACAGCCGCGAGGCACATTCGCAGCGAAGCCCAAACTATCCCTAATTGCACAGCCCACGCACATGTGACTTGCATTCATGACAATTAGGTTTTTATAGAGCTCTCGATATTGAATAGTAAGTAAACTCACGTCTACTTTCCATTTTCAGAACTTCCTCTTTGAAAGTTCGCGTTCAATTTTAAAATTCGCTTTGAATTAAATGGGCACAAAAACGTTCGAAGTTGCTCGAAATAATTGTGATATTTCGTGTCGGGTAACATTTGAGGGATCACATGCTGGTAATAGCGAATAGGCTCACGAGTACTTTCAATGCGTTGATTCGATTTGCTTTGCTTTCATTCTGTGACTGGATTTTCTGCCAACAAACAAACTCGTTAACTGTCTGTCGCGTTCTCGTCGCTGATTTCTCCTCCTGATTAGCTAAGCAGCCTAGAAATACACATTTTAAATGTTTAAAAATATGCTAGATTGTGCAGATGTGTTTTGAGTGAGTAATGTTAGCTTCTGATTTTTTATTGAGATTGTTATTGATAGCGGATAGCTGCGTGGTCTTTTCTTGTAAACAGGAAGAACATTACAACGATGCTTGAAAGAGGGCAAACTCTTACACGATAATATTTATCTTTTTTTGAGCGATTACCTTCATTTTTGTCATAACCTGGCTGCTTCAACTATCTGCTTTCACTGATCTCTTGATCAAAACCTTCTTTGGGATGTTATAATTACTATCATTCTAAAGCGATCTTATCGTATTAGTGATCTGTACTACCTCTATATCCTTCTTGTCCAATCTTACGTAATCTTGAATGACGAAATTTTATTCGATAAAAAATTGTTTTTTTTTTCAGAAATTATTCGTAATTCATCTCCTTTCCCTATAGCTGCCCAGGTTAGTGATAGACAACATCAATGGATACCACCACTATTATTGATGAAGTAGTGAAGACGGCGAACAAGGTAAGCATTGCTTAACCTAAAATTTACATTTATCAACAGTTAATGTACCTTTTTTGAATAATGTTGCCAATCATCTAAAAACTTCAACACCTCCAAGTACTGCAGTCATTTTGATTTAGAGGTTATGTTTGGTTTTCTTATTTTAGTTTGTTGTTTTTGAGCGGATTTTTGTACTGGTATATTTGTTACTTAACTGACGTACGCTTAGCGAGTAGAAAACTTTAGCGTTTACATGTCCATCCGGTTACAAAGGTCGCTCCTATCAAAATACTCTCCCCCCCCCCCCGCCCCCGTTCTCCTCCCCGATTTTTTTCCAGCGGATCAGGGTTGCTAAGTCTTTGACCAAAAATGTCTATTCATGAATTCTTCATCTCAAATCTAACTTCTAAAATCTGTTATGAACACTGGAAAGAGGTGCTTTATTGGCTGTTGACCGCAATACTATTTAGGGCCTTCTCTTCCACTCTGTTTCCATCGAAAACTATACTCTGGAGGATTGTCAAATTGCTTACCATGCTACCACAAACTCACTTATCCAGGTTGGTCTATTATTCTTATCTTCCAATTTTACACAAATTTCTAACAGATTTTTTGTGGGAATTTGTATGCAAAGCAGATTCGTTTAATAGGAGTCATTATCTAAGTATTCACATACATAGGCGCTTTGGACACCAACTCGGAGTGCCTTTTAAGATTGGAAGTTCAGTCTCCTGAATTTCAACTCTTGCTTGTATGTCTTATGATGCAAAGCTCTCATGTAACTTACTGTAAAATGAACATTTACAATCTCCTGACTGTTGCCAATTCTAGCCTACAAAACTGCAAACTTGAATTCAGCTATCAAACCTCACTTCATCAGGACTGAGGTTTGATAGTCGATCTCAAATTTGCAGTTTTATAGGCTTTATTTCTAGCCTACATTTGCATTAATAGATCACAATTAGGCAGTTAAATATGACAGAGTTACTTGTATCTTCTTATTATTTATTCTCTTATGATAAATAAGCAATGCCTGAGATGAACAATTTTGTGCAAAAAATTTAAGTATGACTCTATCCTGATCTGATGATCGTAAATGGTATTCAGGTACATCGGTACATCTAGTGAGATGAAAAACTGCAAATATTCGCGGGAATATTGCTTGTTTAGACTAAAAGTTCTATACACTGTATTATATATTTACAAGCTCAAAGAATGATATTTGATTTGCAAATTTATGAGGATACATCAATTCTACTCACAGAAACAATGTTATATGCTCTGCTTCGATCACTTGTGATGGTTCGCGAATCTCTGTTCTTGAGGAAGCTTCTTTGATTAGCCAATTCATAAGTAAAAACAATCATCGCCAAAACGCGAAAGTTTTTGCAGCACTAAAATAGATATATGCACTAGTTGAATTTTCGTCACTGCACAATTCCATTGACGTTTTTTTACTTTGCTGTTGCATTATTCTACACTCCACTTTCAAGAGAACTACATGCATGTGTTAGAAAATGTTTCCTTAGATAAGTACCACAAAGCGGTGGCGGTCGCAGGACTCTTTTGAATCTATCATAGCTCTTTTTTGAGTTGTGTTTGAGCGAAAAGGCTGAAGTAGCCATATTTGGCTCCGAAGATTTTTCAACATATAGCCTTTTTGTCAAATATCGCAAGCCGCAACTGCTACGATTCGATGAGGAATGAACGAAGCTCTGACTGTAGAGGTTTCCAATCATGCTCATTGTCAGCAAAAACAAAACACAGAACTTTTCCATTTTAGAGCAGCATTTTTCGGTCTAATAATATGGATCATTATTTGGGAAAATTTTATCAATTTTATTACAGCAAAACCTCAGTTCAAACATTTCACAGGATTTTAAGACAATGACAATTCCGCAAATTCGTTTTTCAGACGATCCGATTTGTGCACATCTTCTTCTGCTTCATCGGCGTCGTTGCCTCAGCACTGTTTATTTTCGTGCTGCTCTCACGTTCTTCCCAAAATCTTCATGTGAATCTGCGACTGTCTCTGGCCAGCCTGAGCTTGGCGGCTTGGATCGCTTGCACCCAGTTACTTATTATCGCTGTCTACAGGTAAGTGCATACTGAAACAGAACTCAAACTCCAAGATTCTGAATTACCACTACAGTTTGGTTCAAACGCTAACAGAAGATAATCCCTGTAAAACCCTGTACGAAGCGAAATGGTGCGCAATTGCAAGGTTGGTTGACTGACTATTGATAATTTTCTGCGGGAATTTCTCCTTTAACTTGGCTTTTCCTCAACGCTTTCTCTTCAGATTTCCAGTGGTGCTGTCCATTTATGCCACATTGAGCGGAATTCTCATACTAGCTGTGGAACGTACCATTGCAACTTTGAAATACAAGACGTACGAGGTCCATGGGTCACGCTTAGTGGCTCTCATCCTTATTGGAGCTCAGGTTTGTTAAGCTTTTGTTGATGATTTCATCCACGTAAGCATCCACCAGTCCAATAAACGCCCAATAAATAAATAATTTATAAGATTCATCTTGACGATTTGAAGAAGGAAGTGAGTGAGACTGAATGGGTAGTGGGATAGAGGGAATAGGCAGAGTAAATTAGTCCATAAAACCTCTGTGGTTTCTTTTAATGGTTTTTCGCTGTCATGGTGGAGCCTTGTTCAGAATTTCCAGAAAGGAGAAGTCTCTGGCTTACAGTAGCATCCTACACGTTTCAGATGTAAAAAGTTCACAGAGAGAAGAAATATACCATTTTTGCTCGATCGCCTAGCTGGCAAAATCTGAGCTCGTCAGTACTTAGGCCTCATGGCTCGCCTTTTGGCAAAAGACGTGCATATGCTAACTGAACGGTACTTCCTACGGGAATTATATTTTCAGAACTACACAAATCATGAAACTGATTTTTTGAGGTTGTCGCAGCGCGTCTGAACAATATGAAATTTTTTCGCAAAAAGTAGGTCATGAATGAATATAGAAAGTTTCCAATCGCAATTTTCACATCTTTGGCAACAGAATAAAATGATATAAGCTTATAATATTCGGTCCGCAACTGGAGCTTGACAAAGCTCGACTTTTTTACAAAGCCAAAACCTTTTTCCTTTTATGTGTGTTATCCTTTGACTTGCAAAAAATGCGATAGGACCTTGGAAGTACTAATAGCCGCTAAGCGGCTCACAGAAATTTTTTCAATAATAATGAAATTTGAGACTGTGATAAGTGCTGAGTCACAAGCGTTCTTTGCCCCCTTTCCATTACTGATGCACGAAATATGATCTCTGCGCTATCGGAGAAGACGTTTACGTAGCATATGCATCGAGAAGCAACGCATCATCTTATTAGGGAGTTTCTTCTAACCATCAGAAAATTGCACAGCACTTCTTTCGCACTTGAAATGGATACAATCATTTGCGTATAATATTCATAAGATTTTACAGCAGGATTTCTTGCTAACATAGTGATGATTCATAAGTATCTTGTTAAACAAATGAGGATCAAAAGTCGCAGAATTGCTGCAAAAAATCGTTCTGTTATGCTATGACGAAGTGTGCTCAGACTTCTGAACGATGGCAGTTTTTGAATACTCCATTATTGGAGTTCCGTGAAAGATGAGTGGAACTAATGACTACATTTGATTTTATTACGTACGTATTCACATATTTGTCTAAACCATGTGATTGTGATTGCACATCAATACTTCCATCAATTTCAGTGTCTGTAGATCACTGATTGGGTATAACAAGAAGTGAGATTGTTTCAAGCTACATTTCAAAAATCGAGCTTCTATATCTCTGAAGATTTCCGAAAAAAATAGAAGCATTTTGGCTGATGCTTTTAGAATCCAGTCTTTGAATAAATTAGCCTGAACATTTGCAACTTTTCAAGAATTTCGGGGTAGCTTTTCGTTTTAGTGGCTAATCTCCATACTGCTCGCGGTGCTCTCAGTGCTCGTTCGGGCCGATCCAGGCTATGTGCACTACTGTACCGTCTACGTCTCTCATCCCAGAACTGCCGTAAGCTAATTCTAGTGTCCTTTTAATTTCGGTTCAGCTGCTCTTTTTAGGTGTTTTCGCTTTGTGTCATGTCGATATTGGAGGTGGCTGCATTGCTCTACTTCATAATTCTTCTTCAATCAAACCAACGAAGACAAGTGAATGAATTCGTGAACAACGCCATGCATACATTAACGGAACGCTATCAACTGCAGGTAAACAACGATGCGATAGCTGCCAAAAGAGAGCAAGGCAAAAACAAAAGAGGGGCTTTGGTTCTCCTCCACCTAGTAAGACAATCGGAAAATTGTTCCTCAATCAAACCATCCAAAGATTAGCTGGGTCGCTAACCGCCTCATTACCCATCGTTGACCGTATAACTCAATCAAAATTACTTTGCGCTGCTACTTTTGCGATCTTGTGATGGACTATTTTACGCAGCCATTATGCGAATGAAATCAGAACATGAGACCTCTTTCTCATTTAAGCTCATTCCTAATCTATCTCACAGCACACAGTTATTTAACCTTTGAGGTAATCGTTCGTAAATTCTACCTCAAAATATTAGGTCGTTTCAAAAGTAATTTCGCTTTTTTCAAACGGGCGTCACATTTGATGAGACAAAAGTTTCAAAGAGGTCTTGGAAGCATTCGATGCAGAATTTCATTCTCTTTTTAATGGTTATGAGATTGTAACAACAATGTTTGTGAGCTTTCAGAAAATAACCAAAATCTGCGACCCATACTTTTTGAGATGGTCAAGTTTCACGATTTCTTAAAAATTTCGTATCAGTCCTCAGAAGGAGTTCAAGTGAAGATTTGATAGAGTAAGCCTTACAGAATACAGTACTACTTTTTTCTCTTTCTCTTAGCTCGCCGTAATTTTTTAACAGATTTTTTAACAGAACCATCGGATTTTGGCAGGCCCACCTCAGCCACAATCGCATCAAACATCAGTAATTAATCGGAGTTTCAAGCTTTCAGAATGATGTATGACTTAATATTGATTTTATCAAGCAAATGAGAGTTTACGTGTTCGAAATGTCAAATTCGATTTTTTCGCGTACACCCTGGGTCTCGCTAAAGAAATGAGTGATGATGATTTCTCCCCGGAAACTAAACGAATCGGAAACAAAAAACATCTATTAAAAAGAGGAAAAAAGCTGCATCAAACAGCGCGCAAGCTGCTCTCTCTCATTGATGTTCTGCGAGATTTGAGTTGACCAAGTATGGAAATCGGTAGCATCAGTTAAAATTCTGTCAAAAATGTAGGACAAGCTGTGGAAAGGAGAAAAAAGTAGTTTTGCATTTAGTAGGGTTTGCTCTATAAACGCGTTACTTGAACTGCTTCTGAGGATTGATATGAAAGTTTTAAAAAATCGTCAAACTTGACCATCTCAAAAAGCATGGGTCGCAGATTTTGGTTATTTTCTGAAAGTTTATTGACTGTTTTGCAACAGTTTCATAACCATGAGAAAGAGAATGAAATTCTGCATTTAATGCCTCCAAGATCTCTTAGAAAGCTTTGTTCCGTCAAATGTGGTGGCCCGTTTGAAAAAAGCGAAATTACTTTTGAAACGACCTAATATTTCATCCTTGTGTTAAACATACCTTGCGCTTTGTGAACATGGATATTTTCAAGGTAAATCTTCCTAAAGTTTGCTGATGACTACGGCTACAGCTGATACTGTGTGTTTAGATAACATTGACGGTTTCCAGGTTGAATTCAGAAAATCGTTTATTCTCGCAACGCATAATCAGTGCTGTTCGTGAGAATCGAATTGGCTTTCAGTTCTGCTCGTTCTCTCAAAAAATGCAAATAAGAGTTAGCTTAAATACTGCACCTCGAACGTACATTTCGAAGGCTGAGAATGCAAGGCGGTTTTTCGCATCCTTCCGATGGGGTCGTCAGCGCTTTCATAGGGGATCAAAAGCGGAAAAACTAAGGAAGAGTCTGACAGTCATCCAAGAAATGTGAAGGGTGTTGCTGCTGTTGGCAGCCAATCACAAGATTAATTATGGTTGAAGAACGACATTGGTGCTCTGTACGTGCACAAAACCAGGAAGGCTGCGTAAAGCATGACCAGTGATCACCAAGATAAAAAAGAAAATCTTTGAAGTGGCTTGTAACCAGAAAACTCAAAGGTCGTAGCTTCCAAACTTGAGCGTGTGTTCGATGCACTTTTGACTGCACAATGTTAGTGCTAATACTGCCTGACTGCCAATTCACGGAAGCATTGTATCAGAAGGGAGTGGGATGTGCTAAAAGAAAAAGCAAATTCCACGCTTCCACATCCCATGCTCTAACTAATCGATATGATAATAAGTAAACAATTGCCACTAAAGATAATTTTGGCCTTCTCCCTATTAAATTTTCAATGGCACATTACAAAGAGATTTACAAATTTCAATGAAATCTTGAAAATAAAAATCAAAAAATATAAATATGAAAAGCCATATCTAAGTCGGCTTTTGAAAAGGTTGGACTCTTGAAATCAGAAATATATTTCTGCAAATTGCCAATGACACCATTTCTTGTACATTACTCAAAAGGTCCAGGAGAGCATTTTCCAATGTTGTACATTTAATAGGCCAAATCCCTTTTTTTCTAAAGATTCTCTTTTGGAGCTTATCTCCGCCTCAGCATTACACAATGCTGACCATCCCTGATCGCCCAAGCGGACTACGCGTAGGCGTGGTCATACTCACCTTTCTGGTAGCTTGGAAATCTAATGATGGTATCATAACGAAAACTAGAACTACATAACGAGTGATTAAAGAAACCGTCCAGCCACATTCTCGACTTCCATGTTTTGATCGTTTCTGGCTTTGACATGTTCCTGAGCCCGAATATGAAGTCAAAAATGCACAAAACTCCGCCAATCCCCGTTTCGAAGAACCCGCGGGCCGCTCGAAACGGTGATTGGATGGGCGCGCACGAATGGGCGGGCATTACTGGAGGGGGTGGTGCCGACTTGAGGTCCTCATGTATCTTCGCTAATCTGAAGTGACATTTTGTGCGCAACTTGGGCATTGGCTTGATAGGGGTCCTACTATGGTAAGCTGCCAAAAGTCAAAACCTATCTGAGGCTACGAGCATCAAATTCAGCCAAACCCATATTCCCTTCGATTAGTTAAGAGACTCTTCTCAACGGAAGTAAATGAAATACATTTCAATACATTTTGCAAACTCTTTAATCAAATTCTACAACCTGCGTACTGATTCGTTCCAGGAAAATGTCCGTATTATGAGGATTCTGATCCCTTCAGTCACAGTTCATGCAGTTCTCACAATGATAGGCCTTGTATCATTGCTAGTATTCGCCATCGTGTACAGGTAAATCGCAACTGAGAGATTCCGTTTACAAAGAAGTCTACTACTACATAATCATTTTTTGAATTTCTAAATTCAGAACAGCCGAAGAGCGAATGATAGTCAGATTTGCGCCCTTTTCGGAGTTGGTGGTATTGGTTGTACCAATATATGCCGTCGTCTTTCCTTTCGTAGCAATACTTTGGAATAAGCAATTATGGCAAGCAGCAAGGCAAGTCTGCATTAAAAAAGACTTCCTTTTCTCAAAAAGCAAAATGTTTTCAGAAGAGCCTTGCCATGCTTCTTCAATGAGCGAGCGGTGCCTCCATCCGAAGTCCGCCTGATACCAGACCACACCATAATTGTTTCACGACCAAGCAAACAAATGGAGCGAGACTCAGATACACACTTTGATATGCTGCAGGAGATGTGGAAGAAGTAACCCAGATTGAGATTTTTTGTTGTACAAAGTCAAGAAATAGCGATCAAGTCAGTACTGGTACACTTTTTGTTGATAAATATATTCAGTTTCATCAGTTCAACAGTATACGAGCACAACTATAACAACGATACAAATAGAACCAGTCATAATCATCAACAACTAATTACTGGAAACTAAATGATAACAGGGCGAGCAACATTCAAAGATAAGACAGAACCAAGAAGAAGTCAGAGTTAGCAGACAGCTGAGAGACAATATTCAGATCCACTTTGCTCGCATAGCTGCTGCGTTTGGCACTGAAACTTCATTCTAACGATAATCTCGGGAGTCAATTAAAAAATCTTGTTTTTGTGTATAATGAAATAAATGTATTTGCGTATAATAAAAAGTAATTTTGAAATTTTTTCAATTCAATTGACCTTTACAAATCACATACAGTCTGCCCCAATCGGGATCAGGCCGAAACGTCGGCTGAATTTGCGCGCACGCAGCGCTAGGGGATTGCGCTGCATACGCGCGCTGTCGCAGAGAGTGAAGAGATCGAGGAGAGAGCAGGCTAGCTAGCCACAGATGTGGCGCGAAACCCTCGCGGCGCGGATTCCCGCCATGCCGATTCTGGCCTGGTTAGGATTGGGGCAGACTGTAAGCACGGCCACGGCCACGCCTCTCTCTAGAATTTTCAAAAATACGAATTCACCTCTTTCTCTCCTCCCTGACGTACGCGCCATCAGCAATTGCTCTTTGAAATTTACTGCTGGCTCCAGAGACTTTTTCAACCCCTTGTCCAGAGTAAGCACTTTGAACTCCGCTTTTCTGAACCACCAGGATTGCTACAAACATGGAACCAGTATTACTCACTTGGCCTTAACAAGAAATTCCCCTGCTTGAAGTTTTTTGATTCGTCTTCGTTTCTTGCTTTGAGTTCTATTCTGTCGTTTCTCTTCTTCCTCTCTTTTTCGTTCTTGTACCTAGAAGTGGCCATTAATATTTCTGTTTTGAACTATCTAAATGGAATCAATTCTGTAAGGCGAAAAGAGTAGGACAAACAAAAATATCAAATTTTTTCTTGGAGAAAGTATGCATGAGAATGAAAAAAGCTCAAACGATTTAACAAGAAGCAACGCAAGCGTGCGAGCATCAAATCTGTTGTTGAATGACTCACCTGCTCAAACAAACTCATTTCCTTCTCGGGGCTCGCAGAAAGAATTATATCGGGTCCAGGCTTGGACGAGATCTCCATAGGTGCATCCGAATCGGAACCATCGTCGTCATCTGAACCCATTCCGCCAGGAACATTTTGCGCGTCTTCATCTCCCTCATACTTCCCTTTTCGAGTAATAACTGTAAATATCAGCTTTCAGCACAACTACAAAAGAAAGATGTACTGTTACCCATTATTGACTGTGGCGCTCAGCAAGTTGACGTTCGACTAATGTGCACAGGCTTTCCAGTTCTGTCAACTGCTGCTTCTTCTGGGAAGATAATAATCAACATGACTAGACCAATTTCAAAAAACTTATTATTGATTTCATGAAAAAGAAAACTACGACTTCAGAAAAAAGGTCTTTGAAAAAACAGACTGTCCAAAAATGACTACAACCATGCTTTAGACATACGGAAACTCTGAATAAAACACACCTCTGCCACAAATTCAACAGCTTTGTCGATACTCGCCCACAATTTATCAAGCTGAGCAAGTTGAGAGTCGATAGCACAGAAATTTTCCTTGACCTAGAACGATGAGCATTTACGCAAGAGGAAGCCTTAAATAAAAACTTAAAAGACTACGCGAACTAACGGAAGCGGTCTCGGCCTCCACTGATATGCTGAGCGTTTTCAACTCCTCAAGCGTTGCCGCACTTCTCTCAAGTATGTCGCCCAAAGAAGCTGTAGCTGGCCCACTCTGATGCGTGAAATTCGTAATTATATCGATAAAAACAAAGCAAAAATCAGCGCCCAAAGATTTTTTGCAATTTCTACTTAGGCCTCTGATTGACTCGAAGTATTCGTGTGAGAAAGTCACTTACCACTGATCCAATCAAGTTGATAATTGCACCAAGATTCTGTGTAATTAACTGCAACTGTTGCAGAGTATCCTGTGATTGAGAAATGTGGTTTCTGTTATTCCGCAACTCCAAAGACATGCAACGCCGCTTCTTGCGACTGTAAAAGAAAGATCGATACTTTTTCCAGAGATACTTCGAAATACATTTCCTTTACAAAGGCAGTGCAAATCCATTTCTGGTCGGGCAACAAGAAGAAATGGTTCCTTCCCTTTAGCCTCTGGAAGGGGTGTTCAAGATTTTTGACCAAGAAGTTTTCCTCTCTCAAATGATGGTTCGTCAATAATGCAAAATTCTTCAACATCTCCATCAGAAGATTTTAGGATAATTTGATTCCAAGCGAATCATAACTCTAGAGGTGTTTACACCAAAACTAATATTATACATGGATCGCTTGTAAAATTGTGCACCGAATCATTAGTTGAAAACTGTTATCTATGTCTCAAGAAACAACGAAAACAGCAGCTAAGCGACCTGCACCTCATGACCAATTTCGCATTGGCGCTTGGCAGGATCATGAGACAATATCAAGGTTTAAATTACATAATTCGTTTTCTTTTAAATTTCTAACGGGAAGGTGGCGAAGATAAGTTAATTGAAGTCCAGTTCTGACTGAATGAAAAAGACCTTGGGCTTAAACCATATAGAACTACGAGAAAAAGTAAGAAAAATCTTTATTTGCTTAGGAGCATACACAGCTAAAAACGAGTCAGAGAGCTGTCAATGACAGCGTCGCAAGAAAGACTGAGAAGTCAGATATACAAGGCTGTTAAAAGCGAGCTGAAGATCAGAAGTGTAAGTGAGTGGCATAGTGAAAGTATTATAATCATCACAGAAGTAGATGGAACATACACTAATCTAAAAAATGACAACACAGACAACGACACAAGAAACTGCAAAACGAATTCTGAAAAGATGTGAAAACTAATATATCAATCTGATAGAAAGGAAGCCGATGAGGCACAAAAACATGTGAAAGAAAAATACTTAAAATGGCCTTTTGTGAGGACGCCACGCATACGAGCTGAGTGACTCGGACATCTTCTCAGCCAATCGAGAGGATGACGTTGAACCACTATAAGGTGGATACCTTAATCAGAATGAGTGTGAGGCTATCGCATTTCCGAGTGGGTCAAAGGTACCAGGAGAGAAGAGAGCTTCTAATGACTCCAAAAGGAACCATATTAAGTTAGTCAAAAAATGATCAGAAATATTCAACTGAAATGTAATGCCTGTCAGGAAAATAATATTGATATTAAAGGCACGTAAAATTGACCCAATTTTGTAGCAATGTTTGAATTTGCAAGCAAAAAGCAGGAAGACCACTCGTAAAGCAACAATAGTGCCTCTAGTGCTTACTAGGGGAGGACCCAAAGTCAAATCGGCTTTCCGAATGAATTAATACTAATCTGAAAAGCATCCGCTATCAAAAATGTCTTTGCATTTTTGCCGAGCGCCCGTAAACTCTGAGTTATGGAGTCTTTTATGGAAAAAAAATGATAGCAAAATCTAGGTAAAATTAAAGTTTATAGTTTTTCCAGCGTTCGAACAAAGATGTGTTGAGTACGAGTATACTAGACAAAAGGTTATCATGCATAGAGTGCTCTGATATCCAACGCTGGCCCATTTGCGCAATCTTGGACGAATTTGTTCCGGATGCGCGTTCAATTTTTTGAGCCAAAAAACACCCATAACTCAGCGTTTTGAGCCGCTTGGCAGATAGCAAAGACAATTCTGGAAACGCTTGATGCTCTTTAGATTGGTATCTATTTCAAGTGAAAACCGATTTCGACTTTAGGTCCTCTCTTAGTTAGAACAGAACAACCATATCAGTTGAAAATGTCATGAAATGATTATAAAACGGCACAGCTCGCATGAGGGCAGATTTGATTATTCCAAATTTTACAAACATACCTAGGATAAGGTTCACTTGGCGGTTGCGGTAGGTCATTTTTGGCAGAGGGATGCCGCGGACGGTAGAACGGATCTCCTGCTTTGTAGTGAGGAAAGTCATTTGTTGGTGTTTCTAGTGCTAGATCCCGCAACTCCACATACCTACAATAAGTCAGCTAAATTCAAAATCTGCGTTGCACAAAAACAAACTACCTGCTAGCGTTGCCCACATGAGCATAGTTGGCAGAAAGGATGGCAAGGAAAAAAGCTAGACCAAGGATAACGAAACAAGTTCCTACCCAGCCGATCACGTACCAAGATCGAGCTGTGGAAGATAACGCGCAAAACTGCTGAGCATCACCTCCACATAAATTCATATCCTAAATGACAAATAATAGAATTGGGAGATTGAGAAGATCGACGTACAGAGTTCGAAAAGCTTCTGATTAGCGGCTTGAAGACTCCAAGGTCAATGCAATCGTTCTCAGTAAACGACGGCATGGCATAGCAAAGGTCATCGAATATGAAGTATGAACAGCACAGAACGGAACATATCGATATGATAAATAGCCAACAGACTAACTGAAAAAAAAAAAAACGAATGAGGAGGTTGTGGCTGTCCTTGAAAGCGCCTACAGAATCTAAGAAATCGACGAAAAGCCAGCATTAGGACGGCTAGAACAATTTGGTTCTACAGCTAAATTAAGCTTCAACATCCAATTCCTGCTGTATTTCCAAGTACTTGGCAAGTATCTTGCACGACCTTGGTATTTATGAACTGCGGCATGGACATTACCATTTTTTCATGGATACAAAGAAGATCAAAAATAATATGAGGACTGCACTCAAGCTCAAGTACTCACCAGCAAAACACACCAGGCCATGGCAGTAGCACATGCACACCGTCCACCAAACTTCGCTCGATCGCCTAGAATGTGACTTTCTACCCATGTCGTATCAGTCAAATGACTTACGTTTATATATCTCTTCTCGCGTTGCACCAGTAGCTGTGAATCCAACAAGGAGAAAAAACAAGGCAAACAGAGACATAAGAACAGCGATCACCACAAAAAATACTTGAACCTGAAACCAAATTTTTCAGCAGGATAGTGACAGTGAGGTAAACTACGCACCTTGTCAAGCCACGGCCAATCCTGAATCCTCAGAGACCTCCTTGTTTGTTCAACAGTAGCATTGAAGCCCCACGTCATCATGACGGAGAAAAGTATGACACCGATGAAGCAGAGAAGGGTGGCAATAAGGGATGCGTACGGAATTCTAAAATTCACTTATAAATCGCAGAGAGGGAGATTACATTTCCAGTCATGTGTGTTCGCATGGTAACTCATAAGGTTTCAGTACAAACCTTTAGAAGATGATTTTACGAACAGGTAGACGATGATAACTAGATAAATTAAAACTAAGACTCAATAGCGATACACGTAATCTGAAGAGATTATTGGATCCGTTGCTAGTAAAAGAATTTGCAAAATTCTCGAGAAACTCAACAGTAACATATATACCGCTGAAACTCAGCACGCCTACGCCAATAAAATGAATAAAAAGGGTTTTACAATTTAAACTAACCACATGAGGGCAGTGAGGCTTTCAGTTTCATTATATATACAAAAAAAAAAAACAGAGCTGATGAAATGTATTCATAAAAAAAAGAAATTTACCTGTTGAAGCAACCATCGTTCGGATGTGATTTCAACGGTATGGCTCCATTGATGATCTCCGGCTGCCGCCCTCGACGAGGAGGAGCATCCAGCGCCACCCCGTACACGTCTTCACCACGAATCTTGTTCTTGTGATACTACACTTCCTATATGAAACAAAAGTTGATTTATGCGACGGACATGCACCAGATTATTCGGATAGAATAGCACGACAGAATGGCAGAACAAGGATAAAAATGACTACGAATTCTTCTGCGTGAAAAATAATCTCCCAAGCATCTAACTGTTGCAAGTTTTTGATTCTCCTCAACGAAACGAAATCAAATTTAGTCAAAATGTAAATGTTGAGTTTGAAGTCTAAAAAATATTCTGAGACTCTCGAATTTGCATTTCGTGCATTGCTACATCTGAAAGGTGATCGGGTATGCAAGCCAACCTTATTCCGCGACCCTAAAAGCGAAACGGTGCTTGCACGTAACAAAAGAAGAATTTACAGCGATAACAGAGCTAGCAACTATATGTCATAATACGTAGCTATTATGAAAAGCAAAATAAGAAATAGGGTAGAGAAATGACATGCTCCAAAACATTGCATGCTCTACTGCCAACGTCCGCGAAGTTGCGAATTTGTGCAGTCTCACAGACTGACCAAAACTTTACGCGAGTAGAAAGTGTGATAACGGGATGTCTCAAAGAGGCTCTACACATCCTTATAAAGTTGAGTTCATGTGAAAATTTTGAAGACTCAAGCAAAGAGCAGATGAATGGAAGGAGTAATTACGCTTACTGGTTACTGGTTTGATTATTATTACTGGTTTGAAGGGAGATTCGATTCTAATAGAGATGGGGCGTTTAGGTTTTCACGATTTCTGCAGTTGTACACTCTAAAATTTATCCTGAAGGGAACGAATAGTATTTGTTGCAGTTATTGGGAAGATTGCACAACTTCACACACACCTTTGCTCTAATCTCAACGCAAAGAGTCAGTCCCAACTCAGAGTGTCCCATGGGGAAGTTTGACCAGCGCGCTAGCAAATAATTACCGACACTCAAAATCACAAAGCTAAGGTAGAACTTAGTGTATTAGTCCGGGAACGAAGGGAAAAACGAGATTTGGAATAGCAGCAGAGCTGACTCATATGTGCACACAACGCGAAATTCAATACGTACACGCATGGAGGACCCCGATAAGGGAGTGTCGACAAATAAGAGGGCCGAGAGAGCGACGGAGCACGGGTACGGGGAGTTGGATTAGCCAGAGGTACGAACGAGGCTAAGCTAGCAATCTGATGACCAGCCGAGCTCCTAAACGGGCTGGCGATTAGCATTTGCTGGAATTATAATAGTCGCGACAATGCTATGTGTGAATCATCAATGATAAATAGCAAAGCTAATGCCGACAATCATCCGCTAATTATTCATCTCCTATATGGCTACAGAAATGATAAAATCATGCTACCGAAAAACGTGGCTTTAGAATCGCTACGCTTATCAGGACGTGTTGTCAAAAAAGAAGCTTCCTCCACTGTTAGAAAAATTCAAAAATGCGATCAGTTTTTTTTTGCATACAGGAGCTGTTTATCAGCGAGTCTTCAAATCTATAGAGAAACCATGCCTATCGGGTGCCCCAATCCAAGCATTTTGAGGAGTCGGGTAAACTCTGAGGTTGGCTTTAACTCAGATATGCTATATGAAACGAATCATGCTTCGCTTTTTGTCGCACTAGAAAAGTCCAAGCACCCTTACTTCATTAAGGACCAAATTTGCGGCAATGTGTCCTTACTAAAGAAAACGCTTGGATTCCTTTATTCTCTACAGCAAAAAATTTCCAGAAGTCCGAAAATATGTCAATTCTAGATCACAGATTCACAGGCTTGTACAAAGTTCATTGACAATATCAGAGAGTGTGACGATTCTATCCCACTGGTCTAAGTGTCTAGCTCCACAATTGAAACCCGAATATTCAACAGAAAGTCATTTTTATGTTAGTGCATCCTTAACTATGAATAAGCGCAGCTTTTTCCATGTGCAATCATTTTGCATCAGTCAGATTTCATTGCGTTTAGGGCCATTTTGACAAGTTCATAGAGTGTTTTAAGTTTTTTTTTTATGAAGTGATTTCGAAGGATTCTATAGAGCAACCATACTGACTTGCCACAATTCATTACCACTTCATCTTTTTCATTCTGATTTTTTTACCCATAATTCTCAAAAATTATAAGAAAAAACTTTAATAACTGATATATTGAGATGAGGGGGTTATTACAATCAAACGTACACGTACTGTACACATACGAGGCACTCAATAGCTGTCATATGCATATTTCGAGATTCAATCGCGGTTATGATGTAGAGTTCTGAATAAGAAATACTGTGGAGAATTTCGTTGGAAAACGTCTACTTTACTACTTCTACTACTTTTTAGTACTTCTTCGAACGAAGGCAGACGCCTGTGGTTCTAACCAATATTTGGCAAAGGATCAGACGAGTCCAGAGACTTCCATGAAAAACAACTAAAAAATTGGGAGTGGACTAAAAGGTGTTGCGTTTTCGATAATTCCTCTGTGCGCATACATTAGTTGATGCAAAAGTTTTGTGGCACCAATTCTTTGTAAATCATTTTTTTTTTGTTCTCTCGACGGATGAGCAAACTTAATATTACAACTCAGACAACATCGTTTCTTTGTAACGTAGTTTAGCTGCTCTTCGGAAAATGATGGCTTTCAAGATAGAAGTAAGAGAAAAAAGTAAGAGAAAAAAATCACTTCAGGTTTGATGATTTCAAGTCACGTTGCCAACAACCTAAACTTGCGATAAAACCCGGGTAGCGGTAGTATCTTGAACCAAACTCCCAGCCATCAAACTTTGTGCTGGTCGAGCATCTCTGTAAAAAGTTATGATTCTTGATGCACTGCAAAAACACCGCAGAACACCTGATTCCAATTCTTCCGGCTTTTTTAAGAAAATCACAACTCGTCACAAAAATGCTCACTCAGCAGAAACTTCGCCAGTTGGGAATGGATCATAAGGCCATAATATAGCTTGCTTTAAATCCTATCGCAATTCCAAATTTTTGACAATCTAATGAAAATGAACAAGCTGAAGTAATTTTATTCTTCTGCATCTGCCTCAAAAATCACTCCTTATTAAAGAGAAGCAAAGGTGCTCTTAAGAAAATGTGATGTCTCAATGGAAGAATTAAGTTTGTGCGATTCCGTCGAGGGAATAAGAAGTTATATAGTTCATTAAAAGTGGTACAATAGAAATTTTGCATCAACCTAATAGCAGTGTTTGAGATTTTTTATTTCAACATAAAAGCAAAAATGACTGGCTCTTAATTGTTTGTAAAACGGGTTCTTGTATGCTTTTAGCTTGCGTTGACTAATGCGTGCACTTGTGATTTATTGCAAACCAAGCCTTCATAAATATAGTGGCGTACCCAGGATTTCCGCTCGGGGGGGGGGACGGAGGGGGGGGGGGGGCGACAAAAAATTTTCCCTAATGAAGGTGCGTGGCTTTTTTGGGATGTTTCCAAAAATTTTTCCGGGCCCCTGACCCCAAAATTTCATAAAAAGGGGGCGTGGCGGTAGCCACGCACCCGCACCCGAAAAAATTTTTTTTACAGGGATTTGAATTTTTTAAAAATTTTTAAAAATTATTTTCATTATTTACAAGCAAAAACAAGTCCTCTGCACATTTTTATAACACATTTGAGTAACTTTCAAAAATTTTGCGACCCATTCTTGGGAAGGGGGGGGGGAGGGTACGCCACTGATAAATACGTATAAAAATGTGAACATTCGAGCTTTCTGTGTCCTTCTGTCCTTCAAATCCTTTTCATGCTTTTTCTTCTAACAACAGATTGTAGGAGAAAGCCAGTGTGATTGCAAATTGTCCTTTTATAGCATGCATATATGCATTCTATAGCCTAGAGCACCTAGAAAGTAATGATTGTAGTTTCCCCTTCCCCCGTTCTGTTCGATTGAGGATAGAGAAAGAGATGGGAGAAAAAGGAGACTAAAGTAGCAAAAAACTTGCTGGGAACTAAAGAAAGCATTGTCATAGTTTGGGATCTTTTATAGACTTGCAGGTTACCTCAGTGGGACTGTGCGATCCAAACTTGTGGAAAGCCCTGAAAAGCGGATTTTTTGCAGGGGCTCAAAAACTGCGGTTCAATATGGCGATCATTAAAACTAAGAAAAATCTCACTGGAGAAATTTTTCTTTCCTTCAGTGGCAAACTGCGCACCAAAGCCAACATTTTGTGTGTGCCTTCACATTTTTATCCCTTACATGTGTTGTAAAATTGTGCAAGTGTCTTTACTTGTAAATGGTTAGGATGATTTTAAGATATTTTCAAAAATCCAAATGGCTTTGTGATATTCGGGGAGTTTCCGCCTTCACGCCAATTTTTGTTTCAAAATTTGGAGTTTGTGGGCCGGCAATAGTCGTAAGAATACTCGAAAAAATTCTCAGAGTGGTAAGATAAGGTTTTCAAGAAAACTATAGAATTCATTAAAAAATTTTGTTTCGCTTTCCTCCCCTGAATAAAAGTTCTCTGACCGCCAGTGACCATGTAGTAGTATATCTTATTGTGAGATCAAAATCTTTGCATTTTCCCCTTTTCTGATCTACCTATTTCGACAGTAACTGCATTACTCCTATTGACTTCGAGTGCGCATGATTCAAGATCAATCTTCAAAACATCCTTTTCTCACACTCTAACTTTCAATGGTCCTCAAATTTTGGGCTTCAATCTTGTACAAAAAGCCTCGGTGAGCAGTAAAGAGAAGCCGTTCTGTAAAAGCCCACGCGAGATTCAAGAAAATAATCTGGAAAAGAAATTTGGAGAAACTCGCTCGAAAAAATCTGGAGAAAAAACTTGGGAGTTGTAGATAAGGCTGGGCGCCTTTATTCGGAATGTTTGCTGCTTACCCTAATTTTTCGAACAAATTTTGCTCCAACAAATCCTCTCTAGTGACCTCAGATTAGTTTGGAGAAGACATGTGCTTATGCTTTGAATTGGAGGGGCACCTCTTTCCTATCAGACAGTTTCCTATATATAACATAAGAGCAATTTTGAATCCTATGACTACAACTAGGCCGTTTAGTTACAAAAAAAGCAATTTTCAAACTTTTTGGATTGAAAGTGTGCCGTGAGGCATCAGAGCATTTTAGAATTTATAGACAGCTCATCGATAGTGGAATGTATTCGTTGACTACAGATGAACCTTATCTCTAAGAAAATAGTTTGGCTGGGCCACTCAGTTTTGTGTTCAGGAAATTCGCTCCTATTGAAGTATAAACATCAACAATAACGGTTTCCGAAGCGCAGCTCCAAATAAGCATTGAAGGTAGATATAAAGTGCCAAATATCGATGAAAGAATATCTTGAACTATTGTTGAGCCGTGGGAATTCATGACAGTTCAAAAATTTACGGCACGTAAGTGAAGTATCTTACCAGATATTTCTCGTTCATCTGATTTGATAAGATAATAGCTTAGGGAGAAACTGTACGAAAGCAATAGACTCGCTGATTTTTGCAAGAACAATCTATCAAATGTTTTCAGAGCACCTGGCACTCCGCTGAGCTTTCAACCGACTACACTGTAGACTTCAGCCTGTGTCACTTCAAAAACTCTTTTAACGATCGTTTTATGCTTCAAGCTAAGGTTGAGTCATGAGAGAACTTTAGATCATCCATAATGAATTGGTTGGCAGGTCACGTTTTCCCGCCTGCTGACCTCTGGCTGTTTAATAGGGGCGGTGCGCTGCTCAGTTCTGTTTTCGAGTCAGTCGAGATCGGTGTCGGTGATGAACTGCTTATTCGTGCTTGCTCTCGTTGGCCTGGCTGCGCTGGTCAGTGCCAAGGATCTGCCCGACAAGTACTACGGAAAGTTCGACCTCGATCACTCGGAGAACTTCGACGAGTATTTGGAGGCTAAAGGTTTGTTTCAAAAGGGGTTTATGTCTTTCTGGAGCATTCAAAGTCCTTGTTTGCCAAAGTCACTACTCCAGGCTATGGGTGGTTCACTCGAAAACTCGTCACATTCGCCACATTTAAGAAAGAGTTCACGAAGAGCGACAAACCCGGCAAATTCGACTACTCGAACCTCACTTCAAAGAAGGACGTCCACTACAAAGACGTCGAACTTGGCAAGGAATTCGTAGGCGAAGGTCTCGACTCCACCAATCATAAGGTATACCACATACAGCTTTTTATTCCACTCCTCATCTCACTCTACTCGACAGTTGGTGGACGGCTGACGCGATTGATTGTGGATTGTTGATCCCAGGCCAGATTTATCCTTCCGTTCATATTTCAGATTACATTCGACCTAGTCGGAGATAAGTTGTTTGAGAAACACAACCCAATGGAAAAGGGAGAGGCCAAGGATGAGACTTATGAATATTCTTTCGTAGAAAAGGATGGAAAGGAGTATCTTCTTGTGGTGAGTGGGACATGGGTTCACTAAATCTTTCCGCTTCTCTTGTATTTGAAATACTAAACAGAAACTGGAGGAGAGAAAATTATCAGACTTAAAGTCAATAAATCAAATGATTTAACTTAAGTGCATGTTCAGGGTTCCTCCCACATGGGAAATTTAACTTGTTGTAGAAGCACTTTTAATCTAGTTAAAATACCGACTAGATGTTCAGAAAATGCCAAAAAGTAGCCAAGTCATCCCCCTCCCCTTCCGAGAATGGGTAGCGAAAGTTTTGAAAAGCTTGCATGAGATGTAAAAAGTGAGAAAGTGACTTGTTTATACTTGTAATTGATCAGAAGAATATTTGGATTTTTTTGAAAATTCGACTCGATCACGCCTTTTCTCCTATTGGACTTGTTTGCGCAAAAATTTTGGGAAGCACAGAAACTTTTTTAGAGTGCGTGATTGAGCCACGCACCGTCATTCGAAATTCCCCTCCCCCCTACGTCTCCCCCTGTCCGAACAAAAATCCTGGGATTACCAGTGCTACCTTAATTGTTGTTGCCTTAATCGTGTAAACCAGTAACGTATAAATTGTAAATTAGATTCGATGTCAGTGGTGATTTTGTTACCGTTTGGTTACCCGCGCTTTTGACCATGCTTTCATAAACAAAAATTCATCCAATCATTCCTTATTGAAGTGAATAGTAATAGAACTGATCTAAGAAATCTTCTTTTTTAGAAATTCATTTCCAAAGTTCCAGTTAGAATAGATGAACGGAATATTGTGATAAAAGTGTTTCTATGTTGAGTGCATCAATCATTTTTGCGGTGCAAGTCGATCTCGCTAGTCTCTTGTCGCCATCGTTGGCATGCGCGCCTTGTTTCGTATTTGGCTTTCTCTTCATATGACCTTTGCCATTCTGAGAATATGCAAATGTCCTTGGAGACCTTGTTTTGAAGCAAAGTCATTCCGCGATATTGCTAGCATTGAAAACTTACCGACACTGGATCTTACAGTTTTTATGAGTACGAAATCATAATAGGACATGGAGATTGATATTTCATAGCGTTAAACTAGCTATAATTTGCTAGAGCTCAATAGTCTGAAACTAAATGAGAATTTTGATAATAAATTTTCCCTGTTCACGAGAGCGAATAGGTTCTGAATAAAGTGGAGACTTATCTTAGCTCCATTTCACTTTCTTCTATAATTTCCTTTTTTTTTTCAGAAAATGGAAGCTAATGGCGTTGTCGGCAAGCGATTCTACAAACGCCTTTGATTGTTTGTGAATGTTAGCTGTTCATGTATGTACAATGAATTTTTGTGCCTTGCGTTTTGGACTGTTCTCCATCTGTAATAAAAGTGTAACACTCAAACCGATCAATTTCTTCAGGCTTCACAGTTTTTGCAGCGGTCAACTTTATAGGCTACACAAATTGAGCAAATTACGAACCTTCTAGATCGAACATTGAATACTTTTTATGTCCAGAATTGGGTCCATTTGCTGGCTCTGCGTCTTCAGTTGAACAGCGTTTAGCTCGCATGCGAAGCACTAGGATTTGAAGCATGAACATCCTATTGCTTCGCACATATTCTATTCGGTTCTGCATATCCTGAACGAATTTTAATTGGATGTGACCACATTTCGTTGTTTACTACCACGATTTCTGTCAGTGCTCTAGCTTTGAGAGGCTGAAGCTCAAAAAAGAACGCATCAGAATGTAGTAAAGAATTTGTCCAAAATTGTGAGCACTGATAGATGTGAAAGAATGAATTGGATCATAAGGCTTTTATTTCGGTCTGCTTTACAGCTTATCATGCAGCAAGATGAACGAGAGTTAAATGATGAGATGACTCAATTTCTCAGCATTTCTGAGGCTATGTAGGAAGAATCCTATTGTTTCATTCAGCGGGATGGTCTAGGGGATATATAAATAAGTGGATAAAACAGAACTTGTACAGAAGTATACCCTCACTATAGATCTGTTCATTGAGCAGTCGTTTGCCAGCCAACTGCTTCCAAGCCGAGGTCAGCTATGTGGCAACGAGCGGTCATGGAAGCGCAATATTGAAATGTTGAAAGTGAGAGAAGATCATGTCATAACGACAATGTTAGGTTGTCCCAAAAGTAGACCGTCTTTCTAAACAAATCGAAATGTTTTTGTTTTTGTAGTAAAGTTTGGGCAGCATTTGGTAGAACAAGGCAGGCACTACATAATGACCACCGAATCTGCCTAAGTCGTAATCTAGGTATGGAGTCACGATCCAAAATTTTAACCACTCCAGAAATCGGATCGCCTTCTAGAAAACTCTTGCTGGCATCCAGTTTGGTTGTCATACAGTAGACAGATAGTGGTACTCATGCATACATTCGCTTGATTTTTTCCGCTGCTCAAGTTGAAGAAACAAAAATAGTCCGAAAATGCAAAAATGTCACCTTTTTTGGGTCGTTTGATTGTTACGATTGCTTGGTATTTTTCAATTGTTAAGGCACAAACGAGGATACAATTTCAGTAATATGCTCAAGGAGGAATGCAGTATATGAGCACGCATGTTGGAGGAGCTGGGGGCGGAATTTGCCATATTTGGGGTGTCTTTTTTTCTCGCTTTCTGTGCGCGAAAAAAAATAGCAAATGGGGCTGCGCTAATGGGTCGGAAGATTTTTGGTTACTCATATGAGTTATAGAAATGTGCAAGTGACTTGTTTACACTTGTGAATGATTAAGATGGTTTTTGAAATTTTTAAAAATTTCAAATCAGAAAAAGATTTTTCAGCCGCACGCCCACTTTTCCAAAATCTTGAGCTCAAGCGTCCGCAAAAATTATGAAACAATTCAGAAAAATTTTCGGGGTGCGTGGCTAACGCCAGTACCTTCGCTCAAAAGAAATTTTTTATGCCCCTCCCCCACCCCCCCCCCCTCTCCCGCCCGGACGTAAATCCTGAGACCGCCACTAGTAGGAATTAGTGGGAGGTTGGCGCGGATTATGCGTTTTGAAAATTTTTCCGAAGACCACCAATGGTAAAGATGGATGTGAAGGTTTCTTCTCCGGCTAAATTTGGCACACATGGACAAGGTGACGTCGGTATATTGTAGGGCTGCTTTAACTTAGACTAGGAAACTGGCACGTTTGCGCAGTACTATTTCTGAATAGTGAAAGCTGGGGAGCTCATATGCAGTAGTTATATGAAGCACGAGTTTGAGTCGCCACCTGCATTTTTTGCAAAAAAATTGAGAAATTGGCTGTTTTATGCATATAAAATTGTACCATTTGCTGATAAGGTAGTTGCAAAGCCCTATTTCGCGCAGAGAAAGCTTTCTGATAACTGCAGTAATTTGAGTAATTCTTCCAAACTTCGGGACTCATCTTTCAGGCGTGGCGCCTATCCTAGAATCGACGCCAGCTGCAAAAGAGTTTCTATCAGAAGCAAATTTGACAGCCCTGTTTTGTGCGCGTATAGCAAAATCTGAGTGCAACTGCGGGTTCAGAGCCGACAACCTCCTCTTTCAGAAAGTTAAGCATTGAGGAGGTATCTTGGTTTAGCGCGAAAAAAAGGCAGCAAAAAGAAAATTATCACATTTTCATTTTGATAGACTTTCTTTGGTGTGCGGATCAGACACAGATTGGACATCAATACAAAATGGAAGCGGGCTCGAAAAGTACAGGCTTCATTTCAAACAATTATACGCGATTTAATCTTTAAAATCCGACCTAGTGAGAGAATAATGATTCACATGCATCACCTGGTTATCGTGTAGCATGAGCGAAAACCAATGACGCCTCTATTCGTTCCTGCCTCTGGCGATTGGACCATTGTTTACATATCGCACCGTAGACACGTGAACGCTCTGAACTTCATTAAAAGACTTTGTGAGCATATCTGACCATTGCGTCAGCGGTCTTCCTCGTTTGCCTTTGACGTGCAGTGGTATCCAATCTGTTACAGCTCTCGTCCACCGGTTGTCGTCGAAAGGCATTACGTGCCGGCACACCTTATCTTGTTTTGCGTAGGCGACAGCTTCCTTAATTCGATCGACGACGTAGAGTAGAACTTCGTATTACTTGCCTCACTTGCGTGAGGCGTGAGTCGGTTCACTCCTAGCATCACTCTCCCAACAGCACGTTTGATGACGCTAACCGCGTGTTCATCCTGCATCCTCATCCATGTTTCTGAAGCGTACAAAGCAGGAAGAACTGTCTAGTTGAAGAAGTGGACGCGGAGCACGATGTTCTTGGCCTTCTTCACTATGTTCTCAGTTGTCTTATGTGCTCCACACTCTGCACGTTTCCTCCTGCTCAGTTCAGAAGCTAGATCGTTCATCATATTGAGTTCTCAACCTAAGTATCAGTGGCGGTCCCAGAATTTCCGCACGGGGAGGGAAGCGCACCAAAAATTTTTTTCGTTAAGGTGCGTGGCCTTAGTCACGCACTCCGAAAATTTTTTTGAGAAGCTTCCCATATTATATGAAAATATTAGAAAAAGTGCGCGTGGCGGTAGCCACGCCCCGAAAAATTTTTCCTACAAGGCTAATTTGAATTTTTGAAAATTTTTGAGAATTATTTTAATTATTTACAAGCATAAACAAGCCACTTGCACATTTTCAAAACCCATTGAGTAACTTTTGAAAATTCGCAACCCATTCTTCCCCTCGGACCGCCACTGCTAGGTAAGTGTAGCTTGAGCACTGCCTTTGATGATGTTCGTCCCGCTGAACATAAAAGGAGCATCAGGCACTCTTCCGTTCCTCATGGGCGTTAGAGGCCGTTAGAAGCCGTAGACCGATCTTTCCATAACTTGTCAAACTGACCACCATTTGCTCCGCGTGCGTGATGCTTATTGTTATTAATGCGATGTCATAAGCAAAGCGAAGATGGGATAGTTGTAGGCCGTCGACATTCACTCCCATGTCGTCCCATTCCAACTTATGTATGAGGTTCTCTAAAGAGCGAACACTGCACAGTTTAGGCGGTAGTGTATTGCCTTGTCGTACGCCTCTCTTCACGTCGATGATGATATCCTTATATAGGTGTAATGCTTGTTGTGAAGTCGTTAGGTAGCTCTCGAATTGTGTTGTTGTAATGAATACGGTACCTCGATTTCAAAGCATCAATGACGGCCAGTGTCAACCGAGTCAAAGACCTTTTTCAATCGTTGAAAGATGGACAGAGCAGCATCTTATACTTTCGTGACACTTCAAGAGCCTTGTTACCGTGTGTATGTGGTCTGTCGTGCTAAATCCTCCTTGAAACCCTGCTTGCTTACACTATTGTCCTTCGTCTAACTCTAATCCGATCCGTTGAGGATAACTCGCGTAAAGAGTTTGATTGCAGAACAACAGGCAGAAAGGTAAATGCCAATGTCGCAGTCCTTTTATACAGCAATGCACCGTCTTGCTGGTCTTCCATTATCTTTTTAACCTTGTCTTCCGTCGACTACGGCGTGAAGAGCCTTGCCAAAGTTTGATGAGTGCTGGCTAAAGATTCTTTAGATGTTGTGGCTTGATCCTATCAGGACCGAATGCTGCAAGACAAACAAACAGGTGAAGCTCATCTGTAGGGTGACCTTGCATACTTACCCTACGGAAAAGTGGGCAGTCCTCATCTCACCCGACAAAGCCTCATATGGAGGGCCTCAGGGGAGATCATCTCCCGTGACCGAGCTTTACTACGGGCCAAAGTAGTACCCAGAAATGTATTTGGTGGATTTTTTTGAGTTTGGAGTCGCAACAAATAAACTCCGATGGTCACTCGCGGGGATTGAGCCCAACAAGCTATCCCTTCGAGTGAAATCTTGTTCGACACAGCGAAAATATTGAAAGCTCCTTTGAAGCCACTGGTAAGGCAGCGCCAGTGAGGGCGATATTTGAAAGGCAATCTAGACTGCCGAAACCCAGACGGACAATGATGACGATATGTACTACACCGTGGAGGGGGTAGACGCAGACTAGTCTGCGCATATCGGCTATAAATGATCCATAGTAGCTGATTATTCCTAAGATGGAGCTGGAGCGGACTCTTAGAACGTTTCTTGGTGTAGGCATTTGACGGATGGTCTCGATCTTCTCCGGGTCTGTGTGGCGTCCATCCTTGTCGATGATATATCCAAGATATCTTATCTATGGCATGAGAAAGTTGCACTCTTCAAGACGATAGTAGAGTTCATATTCCTGGATTCTTCAAGAGATCAAAGATTCAAATTACGGCAGTGTTCCTCGTATGTGCGTCCGGTAACGACAGTGTCATCTCATCCAAAAGCTGCCACTCCTTTCAAGCCTCAGATCATTGCGTCCATGATCTGTTGAAATATTTTTCCCGAAGCTGACTTCACTCCAAAGGGTGAACGATTATATCGATAGAGTCCCTTGTGTGTGTTGATAGTCAGCATTTCTCTTTCTCT